GGCAAAATTGGCTGGCAGTTCAATGTTGGCGCCAGCTGTACCTTTTAGGGTAGGGCATTGCAGAAACAGGATGTTACCGTGTAGAAAGTCCAGTTATGTATCACCTCATGATGTACATCACCCTGTGGTGGAACAATGAGAAGGGACTGCCTTGCCCCTTAGAGCATAAGGTAGGCTGCTACAAGATACCAAACACGCAAGTCATAAAAGAAGCCTGGCTATTATCAATGTAAACTGTGTCCTACATAGAGCATTTCCCAGAATCTTGGCCACACATGAGTTTTCTTGACAGGTATTCAGGAGTACCTCCAGACATTTTTATGGGGAAAGTGTTCTTAGAAGTTCAAAAATTTGAAAACCACTGAACTAAATTTCTGAACTGTCCTGAGCACTGGTGATATATAATAATTTTAATGAATCCATTCTGAGCATGGCTAACATCCCTAATGGATATATCATCCATAATTCTCTCTTTTTTTTTAAAAAAAATGATATTTATTAAAGTTTCAAAAAAGGTTACAAAAAAAAGAAAAAGAAAAAAAAAGAAAAGAAGAAATACAAAATACAGAAAAATAAAAACACTTAAAAACAAATCAATCTTTCCATGTCTTGTCTTTCATTTACTTGTTTCCCTGACCTCCTCACACCTCCCTTTTTTGTATTCCAGTTCAGTTAGTTAATTCAGCAAATCCTTTCCCTCTTTGTTTTTATCCTAATCCTTTAACTTAATATATTGTAACTTTAGATTCTCACCTGTTAACAATCCATTTTTACATACTCCTTTGTAACATTGCTGCTAAAACCACTTGACTTCATTCTGACATCATTCTAACATTCATTAATTTTACAGTATTTCTGTAAATAGACTTTAAATTTCTTCCAATCTTCTTCCACCGACTCTTCTCCCTGGTCTCGGATTCTGCCAGTCATTTCCGCCAGTTCCATGTAGTCCATCACCTTCATCTGCCATTCTTCCAGGGTGGGTAGATCTTGTGTCTTCCAGTACTTTGCAATAAGTATTCTTGCTGCTGTTGTAGCATACATAAAGAAAGTTCTATCCTTCTTTGGCACCAATTGGCCAACCATGCCCAGGAGAAAGGCCTCTGGTTTCTTCAGAAAGGTATATTTAAATACCTTTTTCATTTCATTATAGATAATCTCCCAGAAAGCCTTAATCCTTGGGTACGTCCACCAAAGGTGAAAGAATGTGCCTTCAGTTTCTTTACATTTCCAACATTTATTATCGGGCAAATGATAGATTTTTGCAAGCTTGACTGGTGTCATGTACCACCTGTATATCATTTTCATAATATTCTCTCTTAAGGCATTACATGCCGTAAACTTCATACCTGTGGTCCATAACTGTTCCCAGTCAGCCATCATTATGTTATATCCAACATCTTGTGCCCATTTAATCATAGCAGATTTCACCGTTTCATCCTGAGTATTCCATTTCAACAGCAAGTTATACATCTTTGACAAAATCTTAGTTTTGGGTTCTAACAGTTCTGTTTCCAATTTTGATTTTTCCCCCTGGAAGCCAATTTTCCATAAATCTCTTCCTAAATTCCTAATTCAAGATTTGCAATGGCTCTCAATGACGTTATGCTTAACCCTTGTGCTCACTTCAGCATCTATCCACTCCCCCACCACCTCTTTCACAAAGAAAGCCTGAATCTATTTCTCACAAGTTTGCCCATCAGCTGAAAGTCATAACATTGTAAAGGTTCATAGCTGAATCTTTTTTGCTTTTGCATTAATCCATTCTTCTCCATTCGAGCTTTAAAGTAACATTATTAAGACATCCCACAGTAGCAACATTTTAGCATGGAAAAAAGAAGTTTTTCACAAATAGAAAAGACTTTAACTCATTTCCTCTAAGGGAATCAACTAATTATACAAATCTGCAGTAATATAGTAAAGAAATGGCAGATGTGATCTCAGAACCACTGGCAGTCATCTTTGAGAATTCCTGGAGAACAGGCGAAGTCCCGGCAGACTGGAGGAGGGCAAATGTTGTCCCTATTTTCAAAAAGGGGAAAAGAGAGGACCCAAATAATTACCGCCCAGTCAGTCTGACATCAATACCAGGGAAGATTCTGGAGCAGATCATTAAGCAAACAGTCTGTGAGCAACTAGAAAGGAATGCTGTGATCACCAATAGTCAGCATGGATTTCTGAAAAATAAGTCATGTCAGACTAACCTGATCTCATTTTTGACAGAATTACAAGCCTGGTAGATGAAGGGAACACAGTGGATGTAGCCTACCTTGATTTCAGCAAGGCATTTGACAAGGTGCCCCATGATATTCTTGTCAAGAAGCTGGTAAAATGCAGTCTTGACTATGCTACCACTCAGTGGATTTGTAACTGGCTGACTGACCGAACCCAAAGGGTGCTCATCAATGGTTCCTCTTCATCCTGGAGAAGAGTGACTAGTGGGGTGCCACAGGGTTCTGTCTTGGGCCCGGTCTTATTCAACATCTTTATCAATGACTTGGATGATGGACTCAAGGGCATCCTGATCAAATTTGCAGATGACACCAAACTGGGAGGGGTGGCTAACACCCCAGAGGACAGGATCACACTTCAAAATGACCTTGACAGATTAGAGAACTGGGCCAAAACAAACAAGATGAATTTTAACAGGGAGAAATGTAAAGTATTGCACTTGGGCAAAAAAAAATGAGAGGCACAAATACAAGATGGGTGACACCTGGCTTGAGAGCAGTACATGTGAAAAGGATCTAGGAGTCTTGGTTGACCACAAACTTGACATGAGCCAACAGTGTGACGCGGCAGCTAAAAAAGCCAATGCAATTCTGGGCTGCATCAATAGGAATATAGCATCTAGATCAAGGGAAGTAATAGTGCCACTGTATTCTGCTCTGGTCAGACCTCACCTGGAGTACTGTGTCCAGTTCTGGGCACCACCGTTCAAGAAGGACACTGACAAACTGGACGTGTCCAGAGGACAACCAAAATGGTCAAAGGCCTGGAAACGATGCCTTATGAGGAACAGCTAAGGGAGCTGGGCATGTTTAGCCTGGAGAAGAGGAGGTTAAGGGGTGATATGATAGCCATGTTCAAATATATAAAAGGATGTCACATAGAGGAGGGAGAAAGGTTGTTTTCTGCTGCTCCAGAGAAGCGGACATGGAGCAATGGATCCAAACTACAAGAAAGAAGATTCCACCTAAACATTAGGAAGAACTTCCTGACAGTAAGAGCTGTTCGACAGTGGAATTTGCTGCCAAGGAGTGTGTTGGAGTCTCCTTCTTTGGAGGTCTTTAAGCAGAGGCTTGGCAACCATACGTCAGGAGTGCTCTGATGGTGTTTCCTGCTTGGCAGGGGGTTGGACTCGATGGCCCTTGTGGTCTCTTCCAACTCTATGATTCTAAATACAGTAGTTTTATTGAAATCCAGATTACTCACATTAGAGATTTCTGTGTGGCCTGGGGATGCTTTTAAAACTAATTTTCATGTGTATATATAGTTGTCAGCAAATGTAACCACAAAGTTCCCAACACTTTTCAGGAAATACTTCTAACAGTGTGAGTTTATCCTCCACTAAGCATTGGTGCAAGATAGGATTGCACCCAAGAGCTGGTGCAGATTGTGCTGCAGCCAATTTCTCAGTGTGATTTTTCTAATCACAGAGGAGCAGCCACTATCTTCTGAGAGTATTAGAGATGCTTGAGGAATTCAATTCCCCCTCCCTGAGATTCCAATATGAAATTAGCTGATCTTTACCTTTCAGACCGACGTGTAGATTGGAACCTAGCTATCCACCAAAATTCACACTTTTCCAAATGTTGCAATGTGATTCTCAGGCATTTACATGTAACAAAATCCAGATCTAATTTTTAGGTTAATGTGGCAATGGAATGGAATTATGAGGAAAATACATGACACTGATATGGACTTGCAATAGAGCCATCTATCCCTGTTGAATCATGCAAGTAGGCCACATATGTGAGCTGGTGTTTCTCCCTAAAATAATGGCTGCATGTGTCTGCGTGTTTCTTTGTGCTAACATACTACTGTGGTACCTCTGGTTACGAACTTAATTCGTTCTGGAGGTGCGTTCTTAACCTGAAACCATTCTTAACCTGAGGTACCACTTTAGCTAATGGGGACTCCCGCTGCTGCCGTGCTGCCGCTGCACGATTTCTGTTCTCATCCTGAGGTAAAGTTCTTAACCCAAGGTACTACTTCTGGGTTAGCGGAGTCTGTAACCCGAAGTGTTTGTAACCCGAGGTACCACTGTATATATATTGAAGAATTGGGATTAACTGGAACGATTCATTTGAGGATGCCCACTGAGAAATGTTATTCATTTGTAGGCAAAACAAGTAGATATTATAAGAAATATTGAGCTGCCTCCTCCCCCACCCCCAAACCCCTAGCTGAATCCATGCTGCATTCACCCCTCTCCATATCATGTAATGCCATGTGCATTTTCTGACCCTGCAATACTTCACTTCCAGGGCAAGATCTAAAGCAGGGTGGGGAAATCTGTGGCCCTGCAGCTGTTGTATACTACAACTCCCATCACCCCTGAGCATTAGCCATGCTAGGTCGGGCAGATGGGAGTTGTGGGTCAACCACATCAGGAAGATCACAGATTCCCCACCACTGATTGAAATGTATATGATGTAGCACCCTTTCTGAAGCTAAACAGGTCTAAGATCTAAATGGGTCTAGATCTGGTTGGTGTTTGGAAAAGACACTGCCTCGGAATTCCATATTCCCCATGCTGAGTGTAAATGAAAGTGGAATATACAAGCACTTAAATAACTGAGAATACCTTAAATATTTTGATCTCTTGTGGGACCCATATCAGTGATTGAGCCTGTAATGGGAGCAGCCATGTGGAATACAGGAAGCGGCCTTATACTAAGTCAGTACTTCTTTGTAGACAATCTAGCTCCCTATTGTCTACACTGAATGGCAGTGGCTCTCCAGGGTTTCTGAGGGTGTCCTCTCCCAGTCCTACCTGGAGATGCCAGAAATTGAACCTGGGACCTTCTGTGTGCAAAGCAGATGCTCAAACATTGAGCCATGGCCTTCTCAAGAGTCCATTAATTCTCATAGGAGTGAAAGGCAGCCCTTTGCTTAGAAAGCTTGTGTCCTCTGGAAACCTTGACTAGTATTTTTTGTGCTTTAGAGCAGGAGTAATCATGGTGCCCTCCAGAGTGCCAAAGCCATTCTATTATTTTCTAAATGCTACTCTTAATGCAAAGTCACAACTCTAGTTGATAGACCCCATACTTCATAGGAAAGTGTTGAGGTGTCTTTCCACTTGGACATCATACATGATAGAAGCTGGAGTGTTGGCCAAGGAAGTGCCCCATGTATCTTTTCTGTGCTTCCTCCCCAATATAACACAGAAGTATTGCATAAATAGCCCAGACACCAATAGATTCTTATGCAAAAGGCACCTAATCTATAAAACATATGGCATTTTGAAATATTGATCTCTTCTGTGCCAGCAAGTAAGAGATATTAGTGTAGCATGGGATTCCATTTGTAACACTGGGATTAAATGCAGGGAAGTGGAAAATTGGAATAGACCAGAATTCATGTGAAGTGGAAAGTGCAGCTGGCAGTGTTACTAAAGCAAGAGAATAGAAAAATAAGGGGAAGCATTTCTTTGTATTAAGAAAAACCCTTCGTGGCAGCTAAAAAGCTAGCTGGGCTGGCTGTGGACAAATGGATGTTCTAGATCCAATTGCTTTCCGTGTTGCTGGTGCTTATTACAAATGCAATGAAGCACCAAATTAAGGCTAAACTACAAGTGAAATGGATGAAAGAAGGGGCCTGACACTGTTGTTAAAATAAGAAAGAGCAGTGTGTGGTATAAAAGCAGCAGTGAATTGATTCATAAGGAGTGGGTGGGTGTTTAATTTTTTTTAAAAATCCCAACCTCAATTAGTGTTAATTAACTCTGGCAAATGTTATAAATAACATACTCAGCATGATGTTCATATATGGTAACTTCATCGTCTGTTCATCTGCTTGAGCAAATAACAAATACAGAACACTATCTTTCTCTTTCTACCCATCCATGAATGCATCCATTTGCTGAAGTCATACATCCATACTTATGACTTCATAGCAGCAACATTAATATCACATAAAGCATTATTATACCACTTTAGCAGTTATAGAGAATCCTGGGAACTGTAGTTTAAGGGTGCTGACCTCACAGAGCTACAGTTCTCACCACCCTTAAGCTTGTTATGTGACATGTGTGCAAATGCCATTTCTAGCTTGGCTCTGAGCTGGAATGAAGGATTTCTTCCTTTTTATATGTAGTCTTTTATTTGGGTTTACAGTAGGATTCAAATTTATTAAGCAGAACTTGAACTTTTTCCATATCCGCACCATTATCAAAATGAAAAGCTATTAAATACCTCTCCTGCTTCTTTGCCTGCCTCATGAAGAAATGTCATTGACTGAAGTCTCTCAGTGTTTTTATCCACTTTTGGATCTACTCCACTTGCAATAAAAGTCCATTCAAATGCTTGTTCCAAATTTCCCTGGTCTCTGCAGCATTCCCCTCCCCCCTGACACCAATATTCCTGGAGCTGTGGTGTTTTCCTTCTGACATTAGAAAAAAATGTGTCACTGCTAAGTTTATAAAATGATGCCACAAGAAACAAATCTCACTTAAGACTTTGCAACTTTGACAACTGCTCTCAAAAGTGGCCACTGCTCTCAGCTGCAGTTATTTTCTGATGTTTTCCAAAACTGCTCTCCAGGAGACACCATGGTTAATACACCAGCCTCACAACACAACCCCTTTCTCTGTAACACATGTACATTTCAAGGTAAGACCTCACTGCCACAAGTGCAATTAAGTTCAAGATTGATGAGGTCACTTCCTGGCACCCTCCCTTTCACTAGTTTTATGCAATGCGGGAACACGATCCCAGAACTATGTGCCAGTGCATGAATACCCAGTGAAGAAATGTGCGTACACTGAAGGAATGTGCGTATTAAGTGGCAGGTATAAAGCCAAGGTTACATTCAGCAGCATTTGGTATGAGTGTGAGGCATTTGCCAAGTGTGAGGTTTTATCATCTTGGTGGGTGTTACATGCTATATGGTGAAAGTATAGCATGGTGAGCTAGCACGGTAAAGTGCTACTGGATCTCTCTGTAAACCTGGATCTTTACGAGTTTTATTTCTAACACCAGAGAACTGTATTATAGTAGATTAGTTCATGGTGTACTAGCATCTCTTAAAGTTTATGTAGCTAGTGTGCTTATGCTTGTCTTGTGTCATGAGACAATAATCACTTTATACATTGAACTGAACGGTGTGGGCAAGGAGTATTCTTAACTGGGAACTCTAGAAAGGGCTGGCTGCTGGAGAGCAAGGAGACTCTGATGTTCCGCTGCATGTCTCTGCCGGAGCTGTGCATGCTCTGCTCATTACATTGGTTGTAGTGTGGTGTATTATCAACAACAGATAGTGGGCCCAGTATAACAGGTTATGTATGGGCCAACTGAGCTGTAGGTCTAACAGGCCCTACCATTAGGCAACTGAGGCAACTGTTTCAGGTGACAGTTTATTTGGGGCAGTAGTAGCATTTCTCCCGAGGCCCCCAGCCCTTCTATTCTGTTGCCCCAGGGGCCCCAGAAGTGACTATCTCAGATGTGGTGGAAGATACCCTATCACCAGCTGCCTGTACAATTAGCTTCATATATATGTGGAGTTAAGAGTGGGTGCATCTTGTCCTTTGCCTCAAGCAGCAAAATATCTTGGAGCAGCCCTGAGCTAGCTGTAATGGTGATGAGAATGAGAGCCCACAGAGAGAGGAGTACAACAAGGGTGCCTTGCTCAATATCCCTCCCTTAGAGCAGCACTGCCCAAAAGAAAAATCTACAAATGGGGACAAAAAGATGTCAGTTTTGGTTCTTTCAGTTTCTCATTTTCCTAATCTTAAATTCAGTTCCCCACATTCTGTGATTAAAAAATAATAATAATGAACATTCATCAGTATTTTAATGTGAATTTCTCCTAATAAATACATTTTGTATGCAGCTTTGACTACTTTACTCATTTTTGCAAGCCGTTTATTGTATCTTACTTTCACCAACATCAATCAATCCAATCAATCAATCTCCTTTACTGGCATGGAAACAGTGCATTGTATATATGGATCAGAACACAACACAGTTAATGAAACATAGGAGATATTTCAGGATAAAACCGTCCAAACATCATGAGGTACAAAAATGGCTTTTAGGACCTATGGTGATGTAATTTCATAGCATCACTCAAAATGATGCTCCACATTCTCCACAACATCATTACTACAATTGTTCAGCAGATGTCGTGTATCACCTTCATTTTTATACATACTTCCCCCTAATACATGCATTTTTGTGAGCTCTGTTTGAACAGAGAACTGCATCACAAAATTCTGGAAAGTGTGGATTTCAAATGATAACTGTTTTTCAGTTTCCATATTGTTTCAGGAAGTGAGAATTTGAAAGATTTGTCTTTAAATAAAAACAGAGCTGAATTTCTCCTCCATCCCTATCTACAACCTACATTCTCTTTTATTCACAAGGCTGGTTCATTTGATTAATTACAGCAGTAGCAGCATGCTGACTTTTATGTGTGTGAGAGCAATCAAAACTTGGCTACAAACACTACTACACCAGTGCCTGCCAGTAACCAGTCAGCACTGGAAAAACACTCTGACCTGTCTACTATAGCTCTCACCTGATTATAACATTGCAACACCTTTCACATCAAACAATCTCATGTTGCTGTTATTTTGAATACCCACAAAAAGGGCAGTACCACTGCTTCCCTTTGGCCATGCTACCAGTGAGTTGTCATCATGTCTTGACCTGTGCTGAATCTGCAAGCTTCTAATTGGAGAGTACAGGAGAGGCAGTGCCTTTCTATTGGAGTGCTTCTGGATAATCAAACAACTGCAACTGCTCCTAAAGGCATTTAATAAAATGACCATCACAGTCTTGGAGATTGATAGAAACTGGGGAGTTTTCAAAGCTCTTCGCCATGTGAAAGGTAACAGTGCGGTAAAACACTAACCATGCATTGATCTTGATTTGAACAAAGGCTCCTGAACTCCTGAGAAAAGCAGCTGTGAATTCATTATTAGTGCATTGTAGAAACATGGCAACTTGGAGATAGTCATGTAAAAGAAATTCACCCTGATTGTTAGCTAATGAGGGTTTTTCTCCCATTCTGTTATCTATAATGAGGGAAGGGTTTTGTATTTTTTTTTATCTTAAAGTGAACAAGAGAAGTGGTTGAAAAACATCTGTAGAACCTCAAGGGGAGGGTGGGGTGAGGGAGTCGGCACCTCTCCACAGTGAGGATACTTACATTTGAACAATTCATCACATGGCAGCAACTCTGAGTCCAATACTAATTAGTGTTTAATTGACTTTACTGGAACATTCAGCTGTTTTTCACCTCCTCTAATTATGGAACATCCATTGTGAAGCTACATTTTCAAGCTGACGCCCCCCCTCTCCGCCCCAGTATAATCTGCGATGGTTCAAGGCCTTTTACAAAAGTGTAGTGTGTTGTGCTTGAATTGGTTTACAAAAAAAGGAGGAGGGAAAAAATACAGGCATGTGTCTGTCACAGAATAATTAATAAACAACTCCTTCAGTTCTGGAGAGGGGAGGGTAAACACTAATAAAATGGATGAGCATTTAATGATGTGGTTTGCACCATAAAAGGTAAATGGCACATTAAAAAAGAAATGTTTCTTTGCCAAATGTTCTCTTTATCTAGCTACACAGGGCTACTCAATGATGCTACTAGGAGAGTGAAAGTTTCCACTGAATATATATATTCCATGGACATATCTGTGCTTTTAGTTACAACCTGAATACTTTACAAAACGTTGAAAATGCATTAGTAACATATAGTGAATAGTATGCATAAATTTACAAAGCTTGTCCTTGTAATATCATTTCAATTTGCACTTTCAAAGGAGTGGAAATGTTAATCAAATTACATTTTCTAAAATAAATCCATGGCTTTGTTCAAAACCATTTGGTGCCATTCTCCCAACAGCAAATTTCATCCTGCTGTTTTCAGCCCTTTAGTTGTTTTTAGGCGTGCATGTATTGCATTGAAATGAGATCTTACATGGGTCTACAAGCTAATTAGATGCCATATAGAAAATTGGGTATGTATGTTTCATAATGAGAGCTGGACCATAAAGAAGTGAGAGCTGGACCATAAATAAGGCTGATCGCTGAAGAATTGATGTTTTTGAATTATGGTGCTGGAGGAGACTCTTGAGAGTCCCATGGACTGCAAGAAGATCAAACCTATTCGTTCTTAAGGAAATCAGCCCTGAGTGCTCACTGGAAGGACAGGTTGTGAAGCTGAGGCTCCAATACTTTGGCCACCTCATGAGAAGAGAAGACTCCCTGGAAAAAACCCTGATGCTGGGAAAGATGGAGAGCACAAGGAGAAGGGGACGACAGAGGGCAAGATGGTTGGACAGTGTTCTCGAAGCTACCAACATGAGTCTGACCAAACTGTGGGAGGCAGTGGAAGACAGGAGTGCCTGGTGTGCTCTGGTCCATGGGGGTCACAAAGAGTCGGACATGACTAAACAACAACAACAACTGTTTCATAATGAGGGATAAAGATGCAACATTAATGGTCATGGATTTGAGAAAGTTGTGATCCTGCATAGCCAACCAGACACTATGTTCACCAAGCTTGAGAATAGGACTACACAATTCAAATACATGTTGAAATGCCAAAATGCCAATGGGCACATATGAAAGAAGCTGAAACTGGGACATATTGGGGAAAGTGTGTTTGTATGTTTGATGCAGGAGGGATGAAAACAAGGCATAAATGGTTTGGCTTTTCTTCTATGTTCAGTAGTGCAATGGTACCTTGGGTTACGAACTTAATTTGTTCTGGAGGTCCATTCTTAACCTGAGGCATGCTTTTGCTAATGAGACCTCCCACTGCTGCCGGCGCACGATTTCCATTCTCATCCTGGGGCAAAATTCTCAACCCGAGGTATTACCTCCGGGTTAGCAGAGTTTGTAACCCAAGGTACCACTGTATATTCAACCAGAATGTTATGAGGAAAAGCAAAAATTTGGGTAAAAGTGTTAGGTTTTCAAATTAGAGGATCTCATTGTCTCTGTATAAGTCCAACTAAAAAAAAACCAAAAACAAATAATGGACCAAGCACATGATCTATTTCCTTTCTTTTGGTTAGAGTTGGTGAAGAAGTGGTAAATTTTGCTTTCCAGTTCTCTGGTGCCCTATAGATGCTATGCCTGTACAATATCCTACAAAGCATTAAGATGTACCCAACCAAATGGGTAGGGTGGATGTAATGCACTGAAGCAGATACCCTGGTTCAAATCTTTACCAATAACCACACAAGTTTTTGAAAGAACATATATGCATATGTGTTGCCTGTACCCAGTGTGTGTGTGTGCAATATATATAACAAATATTCTACAATTTCAAATACATCTCCAAATATTCAGAAAAGAAACAGCTTGAGTGAGCAAGTCTCCTGTCCCTCCTCATGCTGACCTGTGCTGAAGAGGCTGTGTTACATTAGCCTCCCTGGAAATAGCTGTAATTAAAGGTTTCTGGTTACAGCACTGTCAGATCCTTTTGTGTATCTGCTTTTTTGGCAAAGGCCTCAAATCTGAGAGCAGCATTAAACCAACCATCTGTTAGCCTTCATTAGGCCCTCTTTCATCAACAGCACCATTAAATAGAACGGAGCACACTAAAAGGACTGTTGACATCTGGGCTTTCAGTGGAAACATTGATCAATATTAATAACAAAACTACTTCACCTGAATTTATTATTAATGAAAATTTAAATGCAACATAAATATGGATGCTTTGCCTAGCAGCACACTTTTAACACAACTAATCTAAATGATAGAGTGAAGCCTTTCTTTGCAGTGGCTAAGAGGCATAATAATGAAGACACCTCCACTACCTAGCACTTTGTCACACCACAGCTTCATTATTTCAAACATTTCCCAACATCTTGAGTCATATTTCTTTGATTTAAATCTCTGTATGTGGATATTTACCATCCCTGGGCTTCAGACCAGGCCTTTTCTATTTTTAGGACATGGGAAGCTGACTTACATCATGTAGGGCTCGATGCGGGAAGGGTTGTAGCTTCCCTCAGTGTTGTTACCTCAGTGGTAGAAGATCTGCTTTGTACGCAGAAGATCCCAGGCATATCCAACAAGAGTTGAAGAATGAGCCCTGACTGAAATCCTGGAGAGTTGCTGCCAGTTGCTGTGGAAGGTGTGTCCCTCCAAAAGTTGCTGGACTACAGCTCCCATCCTCCCAAACCATTGCACGTTGGTTGGGCCTGATGGGGCTTGGTTTCCATCAGCATCTGGAGGGCTCTTGGCTCCTTAGCCCTGCTGTCAAGATGCTTGAGGAATCTGGCAAGTCCGACTTCCAAAGCAGACTCACCTGATCGGCACCTCCGAGAGAGGAGCTTTGGGATCCTGTTAGATTCTACAATAATGCAGTCTGAGGGCTGACACACTTCATTTCTGCTTTCTTTTCTCATTTTTGAAAGCTACTAGCAAAGGTAAAGGACCCCTGGACGGTTAAGTCCAGTCAAAGGCAACTATGGGGAGCGGCATTCAACTCGCTTTTCAGGCCGAGGGAGCCGGCGTTTGTCCACAGACAGCTTTCCGGGTCATGTGGCCAGCATGACTAAACCGCTACTGGTGCATGGAGGACCGTGATGAGTGCCAGAGCACACAGAAATGCCGTTTACCTTCCCACTGCAGCGGTAGCTATTTACCTAATAGTAATAATAATAAATTTTATTTATATCCCGCCCTCCCCGGCCAAAGCCGAGCTCAGAGTGGCTAACATCATATAAATAAGACAAGCAAGACCTACTTGCACTGGTGTGTTTTTGAACTGCTAGGTTTGCAGAAGCTGGGGCAGAGCAACGGGAGCTCACCCCGTCACGTAGGTACTAGCCATCTGGATGGCTAGAGAGTGCAGATCCTGCCGTGTGGAGCTGCAAGTCTCCCAAGAGCAAAGGGAAATGATGGCTCAGTGGAAGAGCACATGCACTGTATGCAGGAGGTCCCAGGTTCAGTCCCAGGCATTTCCTGAGAAGGACCCATGCCTGATTCATTGCAAGGAGGACTGCATACCAAAGCACTGCAGCATTTCCGCCCATGGTTCATTCAAGTCAATGGAAGCCAGGCTTCCCATGCTCAATACCTACAAAATGTTCAAAGTGCAACCTGTGCTTATCTCAATTGTTGCTGTTTTCCTTTGATTATTATCAGTTAGTGGGTCAATGAGAGAAACAACATTGAGTGGTATAGTGCAATCCCATGCATGTTTACTGGGGAGGGGGATGACATTGTATTAAATGGGGATTACGATGTGGCTGGTTTGCATAGGACTGTAAGCTTAATCTTCCAATGACTCTCTGCAGTTTTGGGCATCCCATCCAACTTTCTTTTGAATCTCCAATTTCATTCAGCAAAAGAGCTCTGACACTATCTTCATCAAAGGGAAGTTGTATACATAAATCACTGCCTATAAACACTTTAATCTTCTTCTGTTAGAGAAGTTTCCAATTATATGTGCTGTATAGTCTCAGTTACTGTCCTCATCATAATATGTGAGGTGGAAATTTGATCTATTGTTCTGCTTCCTTCCTCACAAAAGAATAATAAACACCTTCATAAGAAAAGCTCTGAGGTTAGGCACTCAACTAACAAATGAACAAATGCACTGAACAATCAAACAGTAGGATCTTAGCAATCCATAACCTAGTTGCCTTTGGCTGCAGTCCTGAACACTCTTTATTAGGAACACAATCCCACTGAATACAGCTTGGCTTACTTTAGAGTAAGTTATGCACAGGATTACAATGTAAGCTTGCAATTCTGTATCTGTATATCTGGGAGTAGGGTCCATAGAAATCAACTGGACTTTTTTCTGAGTAAATGTGCATAGGATTGCACTGAAAAACTATTGCTTATATGAATTCATTGAATATAGTGAAACCTTGTGTTTTTAAAATGGGGCTGAACTCTGTGATGCCCATCTTAATTTGCATCCCCTGAAAAGCAAAGCAGAGCATCTATATTTGGTCGCCCATTCAACATGTGTCTCTAGATGTACACATCACTGAAAGCCATAGATATCGTTACAGCTGGGTGCATATTCCAATGCTTATTCCGATGGGTGTTCCATTTGCTTTTGCAATTCCTAAAAGCGAGGCTATCCAAAACCCAGGGTTCCCATCAGTATCTGACTAGATGTAAAAGAAGAATACTACACAGAACTAAAGGGACAAAACCTGGTAACAACCAATAGTGCTTCAGGTTAAGAACTTTGCTTCAGGATAAGAACAGAAATTGGGCTCCGGTGGCGTGGCAGCAGCAGGAGGCCCCATTAGCTAAAATGGTGCTTCAGGTTAAGAACAGTTTCAGGTTAAGAATGGACCTCCGGAATGAATTAAGTACTTAACCCGAGATACTACTGTACATTGATTTGTTCCTCAATTCCGTTGGACTCTGGTGCAATATAGTGTAGTTTCTGGCATATGTTTCTGATGCAGAGGAAATAATAAAGAGGGGAAATAGAAAAGTGGGGGAAATTGTGTTCAGACATGGAATATTATCCTGAAATGGCCATCTGGGGCCACAGGTTCAAATCCTACCTCCCAGAATTATGAGACGTGTGCATGGAGGTGGCCACATTTCACAGCACATGCTTTTTGACCAGTGGCATGTGACCCACAAAGGAATCCTAGGTGTAAATGTGGCCAAAAGCTTTGTTTCTCTCACACACATCATGTGCATGTACACACCCACATGCACAATCCATAGTAATATTGTCAAAACAGAATACAAAAAAACCCTGCTGTGGTCCTTCAGCAATTATTTAATATTATGCTGTTTTAGAATAAAGTATCTAGTCAAGTGTTTTGTAATTTCCCCCCTCATGTAAACAGTGCAAACAAAGCAGATAATTTAACTTGTTTCATATGTTTCCAAGAAGTCGTTTTGAAAATTCTCCAAGCACAATTATATTTCTATGGTGCTGAGATTTTTTCCCCCAGTTCCAATTTTATGGCAATTGAACCTTGTTTGAAGAAAAGATGATCAATTTTCTTTTCTGCTGTCCTTGGAGAACTCAAGTATGCCTGAAGTTAAGGTTCTTTAATGAGGGAAGAGATTATCAATGCTTATTTAGGGAGCCAACACACCAATTTTCCAGATTCAGGTTGCAGAAACAATAAATATAAATATATATTGCATTCATCATTATATAACAAAATGGAATATAATCTTGTAGATTCACTGGCATGGACAGACAGGCATTATATATCCCTTGGCAAGTTGACCCACATAGATAAACCTAACTGGTAGTGCTGCAGGTCACTACAGTCTCCCTAACAAGGGATAAAAAGATTATCATTCTTATATGCTTTTATGAAAATAAGTTGAATAACTGGATTTACACCCAAATTGTATGTTTTGGACCAGAGTGTTAAATAAATTACTTGGGAGTAAGCCCCACTGAATTCAGCAGGACCTGTTTCTGGAAATGATAGGGAATGGCATACATATCACTTATTGTTAATCTGTCACTGGCATTTCCATCACAGTTCCCTTTTTTCTCTCTCCCCCATTTCAGTTTTTTGTGTCAGATAAATTTAAGTGGCAAAAGGCAGCCAAGTAGTCAGTTCTGTAGGTGGCAATGGATAATTTGAAAGGTGGCAGAAAGACAAGCAGTAATAGCATCAACTTTCAGAAACAGAATCTAGGTTATAAGAACAAGCCATTATAAAACTAAAATAGTCTTCAAACTGATGTATGGCACTTTAGCCAATGTGATGTGTTAACATACATTTGAAACACACCTTCAGATTCTTCACAACTTGTACCAAAGTTCATAGTAGTTAGCTTTTCATGAACGGTTAATGATTCTGTGGAAGAAAAGGGCAGCTTTGCTCCTTAGAAGGAAGTCTTACATGTTTTAGAGAGGAGGATCTTCAGCTTGTCAAAAGCTGCTCAGATACCCTTTCTATTGTGGTTTTCTGAGGTCTTTCACAAGAAATTTCATCCGAGATTTGATTTGTCTTTGAGTTCAAAAGCATCTGAACTCAAAAGACAATGATTCATTGTGTTAACAATTGTCTCAATGACATTTTGCCATTTCCATGGATTCAGAACATGAAAGAAGGGTTGTCAAATCACCATTTGTGATGTAGTGACCTTCACAGCTAACCGGGCATGGGGGCTGATATGCACAGGGAAGGCTGGCACTCAGCCAGATCCATGGAGATTTCCTTTTTACTAAGCAACTACATGGAAGGGTAGAAAACAATAAAGGGAAAATGTTCATCCCATTGTATGAAAGCGTAGGGGAGGCAAACATAGAATATTCAAAGCACAGAAATTAAATCTGTGCAAAATAAACACAGATGTGGAAGGTCTTGGACCCTATCTCAAGTCCTACCTTGACCCCTGGTTGTCCACCTTCTCTGTCCTCAAGAGCAAAAGTGCCAGTGGAACTGGTGGAAAGCCCAGAGGTGGCAGAGGAGCACTTGCATGGATGCCAGGAGTCTTGTGTTTTAATATTTTGTTGGAAGCCGTCCAGAGTGGCTGGGGCAACCCATTCAGATGGGTGGCATATTAACAACAACAACATTCCTCGTCAGGGATCTCCTCAAGAAGAAAGGTCTACTTGAGAGGAGGGAGAAGAATCTGCTACCATCTGCTATCCAGCAGATGACCAAGCAAAGGAGGGAGGATATAAACTTCTCATTGGCTACTGGGCCTTTGCTAGAACTTTTTTGCTTAGCTCCTGCTACAACTGGCAGTCCTAGAAATCGACACCAGTAAATGAAATGGAATGGATTTTTGGGGTGGTGGTATCGCTTTATTAAGTGCTTTTTACTGCTTTCTTGGTTTTTCTTCATTAATACTTTTTATTGTTAGCTTTTTTGGTTTGCTTTCAAGAAAAGTGAAGAAAGCACACTTCAAATAAATAGCTGCCCTATAGTTCTTGTTGTGAGTCACTCATCCACACCACCAGCAGCCTTTTTGTCTTCTTTGAAAGTGTGCATTTGATGCCCAAGGAGAAACCAAAGCATACAATAAGGGACCAGAAGACTTGACTCGTCTTCTACTTTCACTGGTGTATTATTAAGCAGCTCCATTGGATCACATTTCGTTCTACTTTCATAATGGGGGGAAGGTTAATTTTCTACCTTGTCTCAGTAATACAGCATGAATGTATGAACATCCACAACTGTTTTCCCTCTTCTTTCTCCTCTTCCCAGCCCTGTAATGTCACAGAAATCAAAATTGATTGACTCTTTGTAGTCTGCAGAAGCAGGATAAGAAGCATCATTTGTGGGGGAGAAAGGAGACTGTCTAAAGCTTTTTCTTGAAGAAACTTGGACCAGTGTTAATTAAAAAGCCCCCAAAAAGTAGTCGAAACCAATTACTCATATTTTATTTTGCATGTCAAAACAGTTTCATGCTTTGGTGAAAGGTTCAACTCGTTTTTTAATGCTTCTGAACCTATTAGGCTATCCTTAGCAAGTCAGCATCCCCCAGGTAAAAAAAGAACAACAACAACAAAGGAACAGAAGAAAGGTTAAGTACTAAATTCTTAACTCAACTTTAAAGTCAGATGTTTCTGAAACATAGTGGAAAGGCACTCTGTGGCTATCACCCCAGGTTTAATAAGCGTTATTTCCAACATTGGTGACAAAATGCAATTATGCTGTTGAGACAGGTCTGAATGAAAGTCACCACATGAAATATTAACATCCAGCTGCCGTTGAGCTGCCATTGTCTTGGGCTGATGAAAAACAATAATCCCTTTTCAGTTTCAGAGGAGTCTTTATAAGAAAATCCTATTTAAAAAAATGAAAAAGAAAAGTTAACATGTTTACTAAGACAGTCTATGTTCAAACCTGGCTGGGCTGAATCATCAGTGGAGATATTAAGGAATGTGGGTATTTCTGCCATTGCTGTATTCCAGTCAAAAGGGAAATGAAAGTATCTTCTCAACCCCCAGGCCACTTCCTGCGTCCTTTGCCATTTCTGACCACTAATTAGAGTTTACTCTGTT